TCTGTAAACCGCTTAGAGAGGGTTGAAAGCCCTATGAAGCGGTATATAAGTCTAACTGCTATTGCTAACTGCTATTAATAAATCATCCTTTGAGCCTTGTCTCTCTCTCGCCCCCTAGTGGCCTGCACGTTTAGCTGCACGATGAAGTTCACAGTTCGAGATTGTGACCCCAACACTGGTGTGCCGGAGGCCGACGGTTACGAGGACGAATACGTGGTAAGAGCCGGGGCGTTTGCGGTCCTTTGGGGCGGGGTTTGGCTCACGCGATGGCAGCCGCCATCTTGACTTTCTTACATCCCTCCGACAGACCCTCCTCTTGATGGGAGGTCCTCGGATTAAGGACCACGATGGGAATTAGAATTTTTTTAAACCCGTCATACGGGGAAGTCCTCAACTTACGACTGAGCCCGAAATTTATGTTGCTAAGCGAGAAATTTTGTTCCGTGCGTTTGGCCCCGCTTTACGACTTTTCTAGCCACCTTTGTTAAGTGAATCACCGCAGGTTGTTAAATTAGTCACACGGTTGTTAAGTGAATCTGGGTTTCCCCGTTGGCTTGTCGGAAGGTCATAAAAGGGGATCGTGGGACACGGGGGCACGCAACAGTCGTAAGTATGAATCGGCCATCATAAATGTGAATCAGACGAGCATCTGAATTTTGATCACATGGCCCCGGGGAATGTTGCAACCGTCGTTAAGTGTGAAAACATGGTCACGAGTCTCTCTTTTCAGTGGCATTGTAATTTTGACTGGTCACTAAGCGAACCGTTGTAAGTCCAGGGCTAGCTGTCAATCAAAAACTAGAAAATGCGTTTTCTCCCTTTAGGGTTAAAAACTTGGCAATAATATAGGGAATTCTTTAAATGTAAATTATGATAGTTTATAAAGTTTAAGGAGAAACCAAGATGACTAAATTGACTCTTCTTATCCAAAGAAGAGAGTACAAATAGTCCTCGACTTACAGCTATTCACTTAGAGACCGTTCAAAGTTACAACGGCACTGGAAAAAGTGACTTATGACCATGTTTTCACACTTACGACGGTTGCACCCTCCCCACAATCACGTGATCAAAATTTGCACACTTGTCAACTTACTCGTACATGACGGTTGCACTGATTCACTTAACAACCATGTGGCTCACTGAACAACTGCAGTGATCCACATAACAACTCCACTTTCGCTTAACAACTGGCCAAAAGGTCACAACTTGGGGCAAACCTCCCTTAACACAACCGCCTCAGCGGTGGAAGTGTGGGCCTCCGTCGTGGTCGTAAGCCCGAGGAACACCTGCGATTCTCCCTGGGTTTCCCTCCCGCAGCTGGAGGACCTGGAGCTGACTCTCTCCGACCACATCCAGAGGATCCTGAAGCCGAACTTCGCGGCCGCCTGGGAGGAAGTGGGCGACGACTACGAGAAGGAGGAGACTTTCGCACTCAGCACCATTAAAAGCCTGGATGGTGAGAGAAATGGCGGCAGAAAATGGGTTTGGGGGAAGACCACCTAGCCTACGGATGACAGCTAAGCTTTTTGCCCTCGCGTGCGCATGGATGTGCTCCCAACTCTCCTTCCTTGCGCCCCATTTGCGGCCTAGCAGGCCTCCCTGAAGCCTCCTGAAAGCAAAAAACGCATTAGCAGCCCGAGGCTCAAAAATCAGCTGGCCGTCGACGGCCAGCTGATTTTTGAGCCTCGGGCTNGTGGGGGAACCGGACTTCTGGTCGACTCCAGAATTGAACGGGGGGCTTCCGGTTAGGACCTTTGTGGCTCTTTGAGGGTTTAAGGTTGCCGACCCCTTGATTAGACTAATTGCCCATTAGACTAAGGCAGGATAAAGCTTTGGCCCCCAACATGTTGCGTTTGAAGACTAGAGCAGGTAAAGGGTCCCTGAACCAGGTTGGTTCGCCTGCTTCCAATCCTGCATTTCTACCCGTCACTCCCTGCTCTCCTGGCAGCTGCTCACCTGCGTTGAGCAGTAACTTCACGCAATCCAGCTGTTCTCGTGCACACGCCACATGCAACGGCATTCCAATATGGCCGTCGTGGGCCTCGAGGTTCGCGCCGACCTCAATCATGAGACGGGCACACTCGGCGCCGCCTTGGAAACGGAGACTGATGAAGGGAGACGAGTCGCTCTCGGTTGGCTTGTGCCAATCAATCAACCGCTGATTCTCTCAACCTCGTTTTTTTTAATCAAACCGGACGCCGTATTCCAAGTCTGGCTTTAACCCGAGGCAGGATAAAACGGTGCTAGCGTCTTCACATGGGGATTGACCCCGGTCAGGATTGTTGCCTGCCCTTCTGGTTCTTGAGAACAGGTGCTGGCAGCTGGCAGCCGGGACATCTGAAGGGGTTAACCCCAGGTGGGTGATGTCATATGCAAATGTCCTTGTAGAACAGCTGGAAAAGCAAGTCTTTTTTTAGGTATTTTCTTCCCCTTGAAAGCGGAGCTCCAGGCTCCCTGGAGCCACAAGCGCTCAAAGAATGGGAACATAATATGTCCATGACTTCAGTTGGCACTAATGCAGCCTTGTATCTACACACACACACACGCACACACACACACACACACAAACACACACACAAACACACACCCACGTCTCATTATAGCAAGTGTTAGAGCTCACTCTGTGCCAGGACAACCGTATCTGTATAGCAGAGGGGCCTGGAGTAAGCTGACCCCAAAGAATTTAGATAGGGTGGGGGGAACAAGCCACGATAGTAGGAAGGGAGGGGGGGGTAAGGGGGTCTCGATGCAAAAATCGGGGCCTTTTTGTGCATTTTAAGGTGAAATAGATGCACCATTTTTCCCACCCTGAGCAACATGGGATAGGTGGTTCTCAACTTACAGCCACTCAACTTGGAATCACAGATTTGGAAGGGACCTTGGAGGTCTTCTAGTCCAACCCCCTGCTCAAGCAGGAGACTAGTCTATATCATTTCGGACCAGTGGCTGTCCAGTCTCTTCTTGAAAGCCTCCAGGGAGGGAGCACCCGTAACGTCCGAAAGCAACTTGTTCAGTGACTGTGCAAAATTAGCACTGGGCAAAAAAAGGGATTTGCAAATGATTTCGGACTTACAACCGTCGTAGCGTCGCCACGATCATGGGATCAAAATTTGGGCACTTGGGAACCGGCATGGTGGCAGGATCCCGGGGTCCTGGGATCACCAGTTGTGACCTTCTCAGGTGGCTTTCGACAAGCAAAGTCAAAGGGAGAAAGTGGGTTTGCTGAATGGCTTTGTGATTCACTTAGCGACTGCATTTATTCGCTTAACAACCATGGTAGAAAAGGTTGAAGAGTTGGCCATAATCACCTAACAATGTCACCCAGCCGGCTTTCATGCCTAAGAAGGAACTAGAACTCACCATCTCCTAATGATTGACCCATAGTCACCCAGATGGCTTTCATGCCTAAGGAGGAACTAGAACTCACCATCTCCTGGTGATGGGCCTAAAGTCACCCAGCCAGCTTTCATGGCTAAGACAGGACTAGAATTCACAGGTTTCTGGTGATTGTCCCTCTAGAATTCACCATCTCCTTATGATTGGCCCACAGTCACCCAGATGGCTTTCACGCCTAAGGAGGAACTAGAACTCACCATCCCCTGGTGATTGGTCCAAAGTCACTCAGCTGGATTTCATGCCTAAGAAGGAACTAGAATTCACAAGGTCCTGGTGATTGGTCTAAAGTCACCCAGCCGGCTTTCACCCAGCCAAACACAGGACTAGAACTCATGAGGTCCTGGTGATTGGCCCACTAGAACTCACCATCTCCTAATGATTGGCCCTCAGTCACCCAGCTGGCTTTCACGCCTAAGGCCATACTAAAACTCCCTGTCTCCTGGTTTCTCGCCCGCTGTCATCATCTCTAGACCAAACACCCTTCCAACGATTAGCGGGCAAGCTTGCCTCTAGGGTACCTCCAAGAGGACGGCCACGACAGTAGAATCAAAGCTTCACAAGGCCCATCAATACTCAGATGAGCTTCAGTTGCAACATTCTCCGCGCCAATTTCACTTCTGACCACACTCTGAACACCCCTGCAGAGGAGGCCAGGCAGAGAGGTTCAAGGAGGGGTCCCTTCCGAGGCGCCGAAAGGCAAGTCTTCCCTCTGGGTTTTTGCAAACCGTTGCCATTCGGTGTTTGCCAATTGACGCTCGGCCGAGCCTCTCGCCTGCCCCACACAAAAAAAGAACTTTTGCTAAAATTAGGTGCCGTTGTGTTGCCTCGCCGGCTGAGCGATCCCTGCCTCAAATACTGAGAGCGATGAGGTCAGGAAGACAGAGAGCCCAAGTTTCAGCTTTCTCATTCCTCAGCCCAAGGACGGCGGGGCGCGACGTGCAATCCAAACCGCAGATAATTATGTCGGCCTCCGTCTCTCTCTGAGAACGGGCCTCGTCTACCGTCACTTCTCCGTCTCGCTCAGACCGAAAAAAGAAGATTAAGGCATTTGAAACCCTGACGTCTCTTCGGGGAAATCCGAAGGCCGATGCGGCAGAAATAACCTGGTTGGAAAAACTAGAAAGCATCCCGTTTTGGTCGCCGCGATGTAAAAAAATAGACGTTGAGACTCTGGAAAGAGGGCAGAGAAGAGCAACGAAGACGGTTAGGGGGCCGGAGGCTAAAACCTATGAAGAGGGGTTGCTGGAGTTGGATCTGTGTAGTAACAACAGAGTATCATCTTAGGATGTCCCAGAAACTGGTCATATCCTGCATTCTGCTGTTTTATAAGCAATTGGTACTAACTGGGTGACTTATTTCCATATGGTTATGGAGGTTCTCAGTGGCTCAGCGGCTAAGGCGTTGAGCTTGTCGATCAGAAAGGTTGGCAGTTCGGTGGTTCGAATCCCTAGCCCTGCATAACGGAGGGAGCTCCAGTGACTTGTCCCAGCTTCTGCCAACCTAGCAGTTCGAAAGCAAGTAAAAAATGCAAGCAGAAAAATAGGAACCACCTTTGATAGGAAGGAAACAGCGTTCCGTGCACTTTCGGCGTTGAGTCATGCTGGCTACATGGCCACGGAGACGTCTTTGGACAGCGCTGGCTCTTCGGCTTTGAAACGGAGATGGGCACTGCCCCCTAGAGTCGGGAATGACTAGCACATATGTGAGAGGGGAACCTTTACTTTCACCCAAAAAACGCTGAAAACGGCCCAAACACAGCAAAAAAACTGCCAAAAAACAGTTTGAAAAATGCCCCCCAAATGGCCTGGAAACGGCCTGGAAAATGGCCTGAAATGCAGACCGCGAACCACCCCAAAACTGAATAGGGAATAGAATAGAATAAGGAATACAATAGAATAGATTTTTCAAGAGGGGAAAAAAAGAAGTGAAGAATGCAGGAACACCAGCTGGCACATTCTGGTTTCGGCACTCACTGCCGAAAAGGTTCGCCATCCCTCTTATAGTCAGAGGTGGTATTCAGCCGGTTCACACCGGTTTGCCCAAACCGGTCGTGGGAATTGCGGGTGTAGGCCCGTGCACCCACCCCAGCTCTATGCCGGCCTCTTTAGGCACGATTTTGAGACTGGGCACAAACGCCGAAGGCCAGGCGTGGCAAACCAGTGCTAACAAAATGTGAAACCCACTGCTGGTAATAGTTATAGATGTATATATACCGTATTTTTCGGTATAGTTATAGATGTATATATACCGTATTTTTCGGTATAGTTATAGATGTATATATACCGTATTTTTCGGTATAGTTAAGACGCACCTTCCCCCCCCTCTAAAAG